CCTGTAGCGTGGCCGAGCTGCACTCCGGTCAGCGGTGGCCGGCCGGAGTGATAGGAAGGTGCACACTGAGTGTGCACTTCCTGTCAGTCCGGCCGGTTACAGGAAACAGAAACTCCGCGCGGAACAGGAGTTTCTGTTTCCTGTCACCGGCCGGACTGACAGGAAGTGCACACTCAGTGTGCACCTTCCTATCACTCCGGCCGGCCACCGCGGACCGGAGTGCAGCTCGGCCACGCTACAGGGGAGGGGAGGGGAGAAGCTGCAGCCGCCTGGGGCTCTTAACAGAGCGCTCAGGCGGCTGCAGTATTTAAAGGGCCGGCCCGCCGCGGCCGGCCTTACAGGAATTTAGGGCGGCCTGGGGGCGGTTGCTCCCAACCCCCCGGCCAACAACCTGGCAGTGAGGAGCAGGGCCGCCGGACCGGGGAAGCTGCCACCCGGCCCGGCGGCTCCAGCCAGGAACGCGGCCGGCCCCCAGATGCTGCGGCCCACCGGGAAATTTCCCGGTATCCCGGTGGGCCAGTCCGGCCCTGAGCAACAGGGGTCATATTTGGCTGGGGAGAGGTGGGTGAGCATGTGGGGAAGTTCATGCATATTTATGCCCTGGGGAATTAGTGGTGGTATGGCATTTTGTTATAATTTGTCCCATAATTGTAGCTCATTCTTTCAGCAGTCTTTTGCTCTTTTCCTGTTATGTCTAAGTGTTCTTGTGAACTTGTTTTTGCCTTTTAATGTCTGTTATATAAGCACCTATGTCTTACAGTGCCCATACCGTTATATCACTTTACAATTTTCTATAACATGTTGACTAGTGAACCATACTCTTCCACACATGGTTGTCCACAGTTATTTTTTAAAGTTATAGTATATAGTAAGTCTAATCTCATACGGATGACAGATGTAATACTTTACAACTGTAATAAATTCCTATACTTTAACATATAGTATAGATTATAAGTTAAAGTCTTTCAGTCCACTAGAAAGTCTCCTATGAGGAAATGTCAGCTTGCCAGAATTGTCTGTCAGATATCAAGCTGGTCCATTACTAAATATATGATTTATTGTTGGCCAAACAGTATAAAAACAAAAGTAATTGGAGATCCATCCATTATATAATATAATTTTAACATATATTTTTAGAACTCCTGGGAGCAGTATTCATTGCCTTGGCCAGTTTACTTTTCCAGGTCTTGAACTTCAGCTTGGGGTTAACATGTGACCTGGCACGAGATTGGAGGGGATCACAGTTTTAGAAATAAACTACAGGGCCAGTATGTCCCAGGCAGCAAGGTCGAGATAGGGGTTTAGTAGTTTAGAGATCAGTAGACACTGCAACTAGTATAAACAGGCACGGTTACAAAACAGATGCGCCTGTAGGTTGCTATGGTAGAAAGATTAAATAGATAGATTCACACACACTCAGAAAAAAATATATATACAAAATATATACAAAATAGGTATACCACCTATTGTAGACGCAAATATGGTGATTACATCTGAAAGACAAATGGAACATACATAGTGCTTTCCATATAAGTTAAAATAAACAAACTATAATATTTGAGGATTAAACTCACAAAGATGGAGCCTCACAGGCTCTATGTACATCACCCCTGGGTGCCTATTCAGGCTCTCGATAAATTCCTGTTTGAAGAACTCGAGGTCCACAGTAGTAGATGTAGATACAAATTTATTGAATAATAATGATAAAATATAATATAGATATCTAGGGACAAGGCAGGTATAATAATAGAATATAATACAGTATATACACCGCAATTATGGCCAAAGAGTAAAAGCAGTGAAACACTACAATACATAAACAATAAAATAATACCGCCAGAGAAAGTCCCAATAGAGAAGTCCAGTAAAGTGCAAACGCGTTTCAGCCCTTAATAGGGCCTTCCTCAGTGCTAAATTCCTGGAAAAAACTTCAGGGCTTAAATAGCCCCCTTGATATGTTCAACTGGATCCAGCTGTAGTTTCAAAATACCGCCGATCATATCACTTCCGGTTTCGGCAAAATGCATGTGACTTCCGGTTTAGATGCGGTCACATGATATTTTTGCGTTCCACCATACGTTCCACACTCGAGCATGGTGGAAATAGTCCCAAAGATGTCCATATTGGAAAAGGGCATATGCCCAAACAAACTTAATCCAACATAGTATAAAAATAAAGAAAAATAACAAGTAGTGAATTAGTAAATAGGTACAAAAATATTCTCAAAACACAGGGCATAATAGATAATATATTAAAGAGGGAAAAAAATGTCCAAAAAGAAAAATCCAATAAAAACTATAAAAAATGGATATATATAAATAACATATATTGTTAAATATATAAATATAAAAATTAAAATATTATAAAATTTATAAAAAATGGACTAATTCAAAATCTATATTAAGACCTTTAGGGCACATAGTGTCCAAGGTAAAAATCCATTTACCCTCTAGTTTACTTAATTCTCGGACATTATCCTCTCCTCTCCAATTTATCAGTTTTTTTACAATCACCATAAAACTTAAAAGAGAAGCGTCACCATTATGATGTTCTAAAAAATGTGCTGATACACTGTGTTTGGTGTATCTCCTCCGTATGTTCCCCATGTGCTCCATAATGCGGGTTTTCAGACTTCTAGTAGTCATAGAAATCTGAAAACCCGCATTATGGAGCACATGGGGAACATACAGAGGAGATACACCAAACACAGTGTATCAGCACATTTTTTAGAACATCATAATGGTGACGCTTCTCTTTTAAGTTTTATGGTGTTTGGAAAAAACGGATAAATTGGAGAGGAGAGGATAATGTCCGAGAATTAAGTAAATTAGAGGGTAAATGGATTTTTACCTTGGACACTATGTGCCCTAAAGGTCTTAATATAGATTTCGAATTAGTCCATTTTTTATAAATTTTATAATATTTTAATTTTTAGATTTATATATTTAACAATATATGTTATTTATATATATCCATTTTTTATAGTTTTTATTGGATTTTCCTTTTTGAACATTTTTTTCCCTCTTTAATATATTATCTATTATGCCCTTTGTTTTAAGAATATTTTTGTACCTATTTACTAATTCACTACTTGTTATTTTTCTTTATTTTTATACTATGTTGGATTAAGTTTGTTTGGGCATATGCCCTTTTCCAATATGGACATCTTTGGGACTATTTCCACCATGCTCGAGTGTGGAACGCATGGTGGAACGCAAAAATATCATGTGACCGCATCTAAACCGGAAGTCACATGCGTTTTGCCGAAACCGGAAGTGATATGATCGGCGGTATTTTGAAACTACAGCTGGATCCAGTTGAACATATCAAGGGGGCTATTTAAGCCCTGAAGTTTTCTCCAGGAATTTAGCACTGAGGAAGGCCCTATCAAGGGCTGAAACGCGTTTGCACTTTACTGGACTTCTCTATTGGGACGTTCTCTGGCGGTATTATTTTATTGTTTATGTATTGTAGTGTTTCACTGCTCTTACTCTTTGGCCATAATTGCGGTGCAATACTGTATTATATTCTATTATTATACCTGCCTTGTCCCTAGATATCTATATTATATTTTATCATTATTATTCAATAAATTTGTATCTACATCTACTACCATGGACCTCGAGTTCTTCAAACAGGAATTTATCGAGAGCCTGAATAGGCACCCAGGGGTGATGTACATAGAGCCTGTGAGGCTCCATCTTTGTGAGTTTAATCCTCAAATATTATAGTTTGTTTATTTTAACTTATATGGAAAGCACTATGTATGTTCCATTTGTCTTTCAGATGTAATCACCATATTTGCGTCTACAATAGGTGGTATACCTATTTTGTATATATTTTGTATATATATTTTTTTTCTGAGTGTGTGTGAATCTATCTATTTAATCTTTCTACTTTGTCTTTAGGTGTTAAGGGATTACACCTTCTTTCACACTCACTTATATTGTCTATACTTAAGGTTGGAAGCGCCTACACAACTATATACTTTTTGTATAGGTTGCTATGGTAGCATGCATTAGCTGTCTCACTTTGAACTCAGTCTCTGTCTCACTCCATACAGACTCTCTGTCCTGCTCAAAGCATTTTATGTCTCCTTTATGCATATTCTATCTTATGCATGTTCTCCCTCCCTAATTACTTTAAATCTCACCCTATACATATATCCATGTCTTACTCTGAGCTTTTCATCTACGATAAGCCCATTCATCATTTTCATGGTCTTGCTGTATATATGAGTATCAGTCTACTGTATGGATATGTATACATTTGTAATATTTTCATTGATTTACTAATATGAATGTGAAGTCAGGTAACATTTTCATTATATGAATGTCCACTCTGTCTAGGCATGGTCTGTACATGGTTACAATAATGCTGTCAGATCCCTCTATGATTTTAGCTGTGCTGATGTCAGTTCAGGATGTTTTGTTCACTTCACTCTGTATAGCATTTTGCTGTATACATGTAATTTCATTCCATACAGGATAAAAAGATGTGCTTTAAAATTTGAACTTGGTGGATATCAACTACTACTATGTACTATGTAAAATGCAAGGTCTTGCAATTTGAACCTTCTAGTCATTAAGAGAACATTGGTTCGCTCAACACATGTTTATTTCTAGTATGAAAGGCGATTACACTCATGGGGATTAAGCAATTGTGGGTCAGCGTTCTGGTGGATCCTTTTTTCGTTAGAATTTTTTTTTTTTTTTATTAGTACTATGTCCTGTGATTATTGTATAAGTAGAACAGGCATCATCTCTCTATATAAATCCCATATGCCCTCCTTGCATTGATTCACTATTTGCATGTCAGGTCGGTGGTCTGACCAAAGGTAGCACCTCTTATCATTGCTCTGTGACCAGTCTTTCACAAACTTAAAAAACTGGGACACATAAATACTTATCTGCTCATTTACTACCACATTTCTGTTTCAGACAGTTAGTGGTAAATTTACCAAGACTGTGTTTTCAGTGGTCACTAGGATCTCTATTATGGTATTTCTGTAGACAGTCCACAAGACCTATATCACAGCTTTACTTTTTTTCTCTTTCACAACTAATTTAAGATAGAATGGCTGTGTTATTTCCCCCTCATTCTATGCAAGCTTAAACAGTTAGTCTGTTTTCTGTTGTCTGTTTAAAGGCCGAAATAGCTTTTCTTTTAGCATATCTATTTCTAGTAAGTAGGCTCTCCTGGTACTGGCTAGGCCTCTTCCTCCTGCAATGTCACGGCGATGGTGGGATGAATGTACATGTGCAGCGGGTGCCAAGCGTGCATTCAAGCTTCCTGACACAGCCTGCATGAAAAAATGGTAGGTTAGCCCAGTATTCTTAGCCAACTGCTATTATCTAGTTATATAATAATTGATAAAAGAAGAAATAATCAAGCCGTGATTTTGATTCATGTTCCTTTGTTGCTAGTGTTATATGTGGTATTTATATAAGAAATGTCCTATAAACATTATATTGCCCACTAACGTTGAGGAAATACATTTTGTGTGCCTATTTCCAGATTTTTATACTCCACAATAAAGTCAACCAGCTGAAAGAGACTACCTTGTGTGCCCAAACCTAGTGCAAAAATGGGCAAAAAAGTGTACTGCTAAATACGTACATATCTTTATCCTTGAAACTTATGTATATTAACACAGCTGTCACAAACGTAATTAAATCTCCTCATGAGTGCTTTCATGTTTCCATAACATATTAGTAATAGCCAAGGTAGGATCTGAGTGAAATGATTCACTATCTTATGGGCTTCACAGTTTAGGTCTAGACCAGGGGTCAGCAACCTATGACACATGTGCCATGCGTGGCACACGAGGTGCCTTTGCACGGCACTCAAGGTTGCTAGAGATAAACAGGCTCTGGCCTATCAGGAGCCCCAGTGGGACTTCAGCTATCTGCTAGAATAAACCAAACATGTATGCATTGCAGCACTTAGTGAAAGTGATCGCAGATTAGTTCCTCCAAGGACTTGTGAACAGGAATACGCCACGGAGTAGAGCAGCCCTCAGCAGCTATTGCAGATCCTTCCCTTGACCTGTGCCTGTCCAGCCCGGTCCTCACTGGACCCCAGGATATCCACTCAATCTGCTATATGTACACAGAGCTGCAGAAAATGCCTCATCCTCACACAAAGAATGTAAACAGTCACACACACAACATCACTGACAGTCCAAACACACACACACGACCCTACAAGAAGCCTCTCATATGCAATACAACAAGTAGGCCCACACATACAAATCACCAAACACACAATGTGAACACACAGTTGCACAAGTAGCCCTTATATACCATAGATATCATACACAAAACCACAAACTACTCATGAATATATACACTATAACAGCCAACATATGCATAAATACAACACTACAAAGCAACTGCAGCACCTTAGACACAAGCAGAATACTGCAACATGCTCTTATGGAAAATAGGTCCAGAACACCAAGGGACTTCAAGATCTTGTTTTGGCACAATACTACTAAAATGTTGCCTACACCTGCTCTAGACAGTAGGGGTTCAATGTAACCCTTACTTAGAGTTCCTGTTAGGTTAGGGTTAAAAGAACTTGTGGTTCCATGTGATGTGAAAATACAATATGTGTGCTCTGAAGCTTAATGTGTTAAAATTCACTACAAATCCTCCCCTGATTCGCTCTTCAGAATAAAATATGTAAAAGCTAAATTTTTACACAGACCTCTCAAGACCAACACTTATAAATTGTATGGTAAAATAACTGGAGTGCTTTGAATTCTGCTAGGAGTAAATGTTTGTATAAGATGTTGGTTTAAGGGGTAGAACCAGTCCTTAGGATCGTTTTACTATAGGAAAGTGTCGGGGCATACATAGCCTTTTTTCTTCTGTGCTCCTTGGCAGCAGCAGCTAATATGAATTCAGCTTAGGAGATAGCTAATTTAAAATATTGGCAGATACCTATGGGAGTTGCCCTCTAGAAAGCTGATTCCTATCAATCACAGGCAGACCTGAACATGTGTGTCCTCGTGCAATGTTATATCAGGGACCCCAAACCACACAGCATCAGATAAACTGTGCACTGTGATGAGTTTAAATCATGTACTGCATTAAGTCACTGCATTACAGAATTTTAAAACATGCTGAGGTAAACTAAAAAAATGTCCACAATATCTCAATCAATCCTTGCTCTTCTCCTGAATGCAATTAGAGAATCACCTTGTAGTCACATGTCCCTTGTTTTCTGTGAGTTATGGTGTACATGGACATTAGGAGCATGTAGCTAATTGACTCAGTGCTTTCTGTTCAAAGTGAGAACTTAACACTCATATCTCTGCAGTGCAAGGATTTGCCAAACACAGTACAACCAAAATGTCTTTTATGGAATAAACAGTGGCCAAGCAGTGATCAATACACAGGAAATTTGCAAATTGCTTCCATTTTGTTTTACACTGCTTAATTTACCAGTGCTTCCTGACTGAACGAAGACAACAAAAATGGTGGAGGCAGAGCAGAGTCTTTTACTGCATAAGAACATCTTCAACAGATGTATGTTTAGTTTACTAGTCTTGGATGACATTTAAATGTTTAATACTAGAAGTTCTATTTTAAAAAAATGAACGTGGGTACAAAATACAATTGCACATTTGATATATTTGCTATAATAATAAAGCAATATTCATGGAAAATCTCACTAAACGGAAATTT